AACGTGTGCTCCAAGCCCATCATGGAGCGGATCCTCCGGGCCACCGGGAAGGCCTACCATCCGCACTGCTTCACCTGTGTGATGTGCCGCCGCAGCCTGGACGGGATCCCATTCACCGTGGATGCCGGTGGGCTCATTCACTGCATTGAGGATTTTCACAAGTAAGCAAATGACTTTCCTTCTGCCAGCCGGCCAGCCCATTTGGAGTCCGATCCTCGGGTCTGGCTTCTGGATCTCATATTCTCCCCCCTCTCTTTCTCTGAGCGGTAGAATGTCAGGATTCGAACAAGCCTTAGAGCAAGCTGATCTGTCGCCTCACCCTGAACAGGTATTGATTCCAGGTAATTCCTGTGGTCATTTGGTCTTGGCTTGAAGACTTCCCTGGGGCTTGTCCATTGCACCTTTGTGGTCCCCTGTGGTGAGAAGGAGTCCTGGTGGTGGACTGGGTCACATAACGGGTTGCCAACTGCAAGGTCAGCCATTTGAAACCACCAGCCACGCTTTGGTAGAAAGGAGACTTTCTACTCCCATAAAGAGTTACAGTGACAGAAAGCCATGGGGACAGTCCTGTAGGGTCACTATGAGTCGGCATCTACTTGATGGCAGTGAGAGTTGTGAGAAGGTTGACTCATTTGCTAAATACGTGTATTGAAAGGTCAGGACACTGGGGGGGTGAGCAAATCGGCCCGTATCTTTGTGTTCCCAGTCTGCTCTTACCAAGCTCTTTTGATTATGAAAGCCGAGGGTTCTCGCCACAGCTGGCGTCTACCTCCCTGCCTGTCCAGATAGGAAGTTAGAAGAGAGGAGCAGGCTATGGAAAGCAGGTACAGAGAGCGAGTCACTCATTTTTACTAATACAAGCTGTCCCATAGGTGGAGGCACATTCATACCATTGTCAGCATTTTCACATGCTCTACTAACCTCCTCTCATAAACAGGCCTCCTCTTTCTCAGGTATTTACTAATGAAATTGGTTGATGCAATAGTATGTAGTTCTTTTGAGGAAGATTAGAAACTAGAGCCTCAAGGTCAAGACCACTTACCGTATATACTCATGTAGAAGCTGAGTTTTTCAGCACATTTTTAATGCCATTTTTATGGTAAAATTGGGTGCCTCGACTGATATTCGGGTCAGCTTATACTCGAATATATATAGTACTTATTCAGGCCCCTGGGGAAATATATCCCCACCTCATTGTCTGTCCTTTATAGGTCTTACTTCTTCCATTTAGTTAAGATGTACATGAAAAGTGTATTATTTGGGGAGTAACTTGGTTGTGTTTGTCCAGGTTGTGAGTTGGTAAATTAGGTAATCTCATTGGTTTATTTTTTCAAGAATTGCATGAAAGCCACCGGCGACATTTGTAAGTGGTGGACAAAAAGGTTTCCTGTTTTGTGTTTGTCCGGTGGTGGCTGTGAGGACAGTCTGCAAGGCTCTCAGTGGGAAGGCCCAAGGTGCTCACCCCTGTGGGTTATCTGTTCTGCTGCTCAAAATGCCCAGTCTTCTGGGTTCATTTTCCTCTTTCTGTTGATTTCCTCACTACAACCAATTTGGTAACCTGAAATACATATTTTTAAAAATATACTTCCTGACTACTTTCCAAGTGCAAAGAAAGGAAAACCCTCCTCCCGACCCCTCCCCACCAAAATGTGATGGTGAATGAATTTTGAAAAATTAAAAAAAATCCAGTTGCAGAAATTCTCAACCAGAATTAGTCAAAGAAAGGCTCACTTTTAAAGGG